GATACCAAGGGGTTGCTTGCAAACAGTTGAAACAAGAAGTGCTAACTCCTCCAATCCAAGTGCTAAGATAGAGGGAAACAAAAACACAGTGCATGGGGAACATAGATGAACACCTAAGCCAAAATGGGGGAGTGGAGGGAGGAGATGACACAGAGTTCTAAAGACTGGGAGGGAGTTAGCCAGTCCAGGCCCAGAGGGAAGAATTCTTGGAAAAGAAAATGACTATGCAAAAGCAAAGAGGTTAGGAAAGGTCTGGCAAGTGATTTGAAGAGGCTAGAGTGAGGCCTTGGTCAGGGAGGGCTATAACTACATAAAGTCATGGAGATGTCAAGGTCAGACACTAAACATTCTGGGAAGGCACATAACAAGCTGTAGATTGGATCACCTCAAACCATCCCTAAGTCCCTTTCCCTTGCCTGCCTCTATCCAAGAGCATGTTTATTCAACTTCAGCACTACTGATATCTTGAACCAGTTAATTCTTTGTTGCGGGGGTGTGTGAGGGCTGTCTTGTGCACTGTAGAGTGTTTCTCCACCTGATAGATATCATATCAGTGGCAGCCACCCTTCCCTGCCCTAGCTGTGACAACCAACAATGTCTCCAGACATTGCCTAAAATACCCCCTGTAGGGCAAAATCATCCCTGGTTATGAACCACTGGTTTGGAGGTTAAAAAAGCTAAAAATTCTAATTTGTCCAGCCTCCCTTGCAGCTAGAGATGGCCATGTAGCACAGTGCTGGCCAATGAGATATGAGAGTAGACTGAAAAATCCTTCCTTTTACTGCCTTCTTTTGATCTTGAACGAAGGCAACAACAGCAGCAGCTACCTTGTAGCCAAGAGATGATAAGCATAAAAGAAAGACCATGAGAATCATATAGACAATGGCCCCTAGATTTTTAAGCCTGTGGACTAATGCTAGCAAGCACCTACCTCCCGACTTCTTGTTTTGTGGGTAAGATAACTCCTGTGTATTTAGGCCACCAAGTTGAGGATTTCTATTATTTGCAGCTGAAAACAACTCTAACTGTGAAATCATACAAAAAGCTTTTGGATGTTATCCCAGAGATAGTGAGGATCCACTAAAGGATTCTAAAAAATAAAAAATAATTGGATCATCACATCTATATTTTAGGAAGATCATTTTGCTATGAAATGCAGTCTATGAAGCAAGACTGGAGGCAGGTACCATGGAAAATGCCTTTATGGCAAAGCAGACAAAACCATGATGGGGCTTGAACCATCTCAGTGGTGGTGGGAATAATATGGAGGTGGCACATTTGAGGGACAATGGACCAACCTTAAGCAATTGGATATGGGCAGTGAAGAAGATGTATGAAAGGCTAAAAATTATATTTCTGGTGTAGGTAATACCCTAGATGGTACAAAAAGAAAGGAGCCTGTTTAAACAGAAGAGCATTATCCCATTCTAGGCTAGGTTAAATTTGAAATGCTTATGGCACTTCCGAGTGATAATGTTACAGGCATTTGGATACATAGCTTGAAAGTCAGAAGTAAGGTAGTGGTAATTTTTAAAAAATATATATGATAGAATTCAAAATTTTAAATGCCAATAAAATAATAGTGCTTATACAAAAGTAATATCAATGAAGTATAGAATACTTAAAATATAGCTAAGCAGCCCTGGCTGGTTTGGCTTAGTGGTTAGCGTGTTGGTCAGCGGACTAAAGGGTTAGAGCTTTGATACCCGGCCTTGGTCATGCGGGAGGCAACCAATCGATGTGTCTCTCTCACGTTGATGTTTCTCTCTCTCTCTCCCTCCCTCCCTCCCTCCCTCTCTTTCTGTTTTCCTCCCTCTCTTATTTCCACTCTGTCTAGAAATAAGTGGAAAAATGTCCTTGGGTGAGAATTAACAACAACAACTTTATATATGCAAAAGAAAATTAAAAATTGTACACAGACACTATACAACCCCAGCATCCAGGTATAATTTATAGTAAAATGTGGTCATATATATGGAAATACACCCACATAAAAGGTATTATACTGCAAATGCTGAATGATAACAGGCCTTATTCAGTTAACAGCATATCATAAACATCTTTCTACTGCAATTAACATTTACCCATTTTTCTGGTTTTTTTCTTTTACTATTATAAACAGTTCTGAGATCAACTGTCCTCATAGTAGAAGTTTTGCCCCATCCCTAACGATTCCCTCAAGATAAATTCTGAGATGTGGAATTGCTCTCTATATGGTATATGTGTTTTTAAGGTTTTTGACAGATGCTCCTGAATCATTCTCTAGAGAGGTTGTAGCAGTTTGCAATGACATCAGCACTATGCGTGAGTCCTCAACTCCCCATACTGTCTCCAAAACTGAAGGGCTATACTTCATCACTCTAATCTTTGAGAATTTTGTAAAACAAAATGTTATCCTCACCTATGTTTCCATTTTGTGTTTGTTTAATTGCTAGAATTTGAGCTGTTTGTGTTTTATCAGTAAGTTGTATTTTTTCTTTGGCACACTGCTGATTCTTGTCCTTTGTCCACTTTTCTTTTGGTATACTTACATTTTATTGATTTGTAAGAGCTCTTTATATGTTATAGATGTTAACCCTTCATTAATGCTACTTTTTTTTTTCTTAGTTTGCATTTGCCATTTAATTTTAGGGTATGTTTTGTTCAACAGATATTTAAAACTATTGGAATGCTCATGGTTTGAATTGGCTATTGTGAAAAATGGGAACAGGATGTATCCAAAAGCAAATAGAGGGACTGAAGCCCAGTTTGAAAGGCTCAGCTGAGGTTGGATACCATGAATTTCTAATGAGGTCAATCTGCAAAGTTGTAACAGCATTTGGTTGAGTGCAGAGGGAGGAAGAAGAGAAAGTAAGATTCACTTAGAGTTTGTATTTTGCTTGATTTAATCATATGCTGGACCAAGGAATAATAGAGTTATAAATATTAGCAAGTTTGTTGCTAAAATGATGGGTCACATGGGACAAGATAAGAGGCAACTTATGTGCTGGGAAGGGTCGGGGGTACCCTGTAGTTAAAAACCAGACACAGCAGAATGAGAACATGAGAGAGCTACAAGATTAGGAAATTCTCTACAATTACCTTCTGTGAAACTTTTTATATTGCTCCTGACCCATTTATTCTATTTTCTTCTTTTAAAACAATTATTTGTATCTGGTATATTTACCTTAATATTTTTCAATTTCTTTATTGATTTCCTTTACAGTCAGGCAGTGTTCCCCATCACAATCAGGATCAATTTCCGCCTGTCAAGTCTATTGATTGGACTGAACACATTTTATTTTAGCCACCCTACTTTCCATTTCCTTGCATTCTCTTTTCCTCTTAGCCCATACTTACTTAAAAGAAGCATTGTCTTTCTGCATCCCAAGCAATATTTAATTCCAGATTATAGGGTGGGAAGGAGAAAAGCTGGAGAGAGAGGAAAACAGGGCAATGCACCCTTTCAGCCTTAACAAGATCACAAGACACCCAGTAAACACCAGGCCATTCAATGAGTTACCAGCTCAGTGGTCACAACTCAGGGTCACTCTTGCCAAAATGGAGAGCTGCCAGTACCTCCTGTGCAGAGAGGAGTTCCAAAGTCCAGTACCCTGTTTGCTCTCACCAGAGGCATTTTCTTGCAACAGCTGATTTGCAAGTGCCCTTTGAGGCCTTGAAAACTCCAGACCCTCTGGCACCTACTTTATTTCAGGGATGTCTTGTCTTCACTATCGAGTTAAGGGACCATATTCAACTGCTTGTGAAAACATGACAGAGTTTCAAAAATCTCTTTTCTAGCCAAAGTGTCCTTTTCAAGAATAGCCTCAAAGAAAGAGTGAGGCTGAGAGTCTCTGACAATGGCTCAGGGGGAAGGAGGCCCCAGGCACTGGACTTCCTCAGGGAGGGGAGGTGCTGACTGAAGGCCTTTGCTGATCTGAGAAGGGACAAACCTATACTCGAGGCATGTGCAAACTACATATTGCATCTAGCAAATACAGAGGAGCCAGCCCGGTATGCCCGGAGAAGTCTTCCTTTCTAGAATGGGGTTGCACGTCATCCAAGATCCTCTCACAAAGATAAGCCATGAGCTTCCTTGATGCTCAACCCTGGCTCATATTTTCCGTTGCAAATAGAAACGTCAAGTTTTGTGTCTGAACTCTTAAGTCGCCCCACAGCAACCCTGGCTAGAGAACTAGAAAGCAAAACCAGTCCTTGCCCAGAGGATATCTAACCACAACTTCCGTCCCTTCTTTTTATACAACATCCAGTGACATCGGGTGAAACAAAATGAAGTGAAAACAAACCATCAAACAATGAAAAACTCAGGCTAGCATAGAAAATCAGTTTGGTCATTCAAACCAGTAAGCATTTTCATATATTAATTTCCGCTTGAATCGTGTATATTTTCATGTATGTTTAAGTGGCTTCTGTTACATGAAGAGCATCTGTTCTCAAGAAATTATCTTGAGGAGAAAGTCAGCCATTTTCCTAAAAGAGAACAACTTTGACCCAAAGATGGGGCAAATAGTAGACTCTCCCAGACCCATATACCTTCTGTCCCGTGTCTCCCAGGAGGTTATCAAACACCTCGCACAGTCCCCCAAACGCAGGACACACACTCTCACACACACACACACACGCGTACTCCCACATGCACACACACAATGGGTGGGGTTGAGAACTACTGCACAGAAACAGCCAGGCTGAGGACACTCCATCCAGGTCCTTCACATCAGAGTTAAATGCATAATGACAGAAGCAGACAATAGCCCCAGGCTACCTCATTCACTCTTTTAAGCCCAAAAGGAAACCAAATATTTTCAGCAAGATAAGCTCTTATCACCCCCACTCTCTGGAAAATTAGAAAAAGCCATGATTAACTCTCGAACCAGAGGACCTTTCTTGTCAAAACTCAGCACAGCAGAGCCTCTGCTCTAACTGCACAGCATTTCTCTCCTGAATGCACCCTGGCCCCAGCCCCAGGCTCAGCCCTGGCCCAGTGGAGACGGAACAACTACCTGAGACAAAGGAATAGGCCGCTAGGATGTTGCTGAGCAAAGCCATGTCCATGCACTGGGCAGTCAGAGGCTCCGTGCAGCAGCGGAAGGGCAGCCTCCACGTGGCATCCAGAGGCGCCTCCTGGAGATGCTTCAGCTGATCAGTGTGGCTCCTCCCTCTCTTCTCTTCTGTTTGGGAACACAAAGTGAGTGATGAGAACACATCCCGCTTTCCTGAGGCTGTGTTCCAGGTAGCCTGGGCTCAGAACAAAGGGCCAGTCCCCTAAATGCCAGGCAGCCTCCCCAACAGGGACCTGGCATCCTGTGCTCTTTGCTCCGGCGAGCTTCTTGGCTTTCAAGGAAGGAGAACCTCCTCACATCTCTGCTTTTCCTGGCCTTTCTCCTTTCTCTTCCCATAGCCTCCTAACTCCCCATTTGAGCACTCCTCCCTCACCTCTTCTTGTATTTTTTTACTGTGTTCTCCCTGTTTGCCTTTGAGGCACAGCCCAGTGTCACCTGAACCACTGCACTGCTACCCCAAGCCCAGCACGTTCTCCGCCTGGCTCTGCTGCCCCTACGCTGACGGCACCTTGCACTTTGATCAGCTTGCCTCATCCCACAGGTCGCCAAATGTGTGTCCTTGGCAATGGGTCTGGGCTGACTGCTCCAGACCTGCAAAGTTGTTCCTGTTCTAAAATGCCCCCAAGAACTTGGGAGCTCGAGCCTGCTCCCTGCCCACATGTTCATGATTCCACCTGTGACTGGGATGGGCCAAACAAATACACACGCTCTGCCAGACTGCCCGCCGGCAGAACCTTCCCACCAGGGCTCAGAGCAAGGACCTGGGATCTCAGCATTCAGAGGCTCGGCCTCTGGCTGGGGGAGCACGTGATTTCCCAGCTGCAGCATGATCACTATTTGGTTCACTAGAGAAGCCCCCGCAGAGAGCTCCAAGGGTGGAAGGGGGGAAATTCTTGACCTATTCAGTGCTGGTTTGAGCTGAGGGCGGGAAACTGAGTCACGGGGTGTGAAAAGATGTCAGAATAAGAAAAGCTAGACAAGCAGAAGACTCCAGTCCTTGTAGAAGAAACCGGTTCTCAGGTGGATCACCCACACTTGGGCCTGAGAGCTGCAATTCCACGGGTAGATGGAATGGCTCACAACAGAAAAGACAACTCGCCCTCTGGCAGATTCCAATGTGCCCAGGGGGGAACAAGACTAGGACAGACAGACCAACATGCAGGTAACGGAGAAATGACCACAAGGTCCTTAGAGCAGCCAGAGGCCCTGAGAGTGGCCGCATAAGGAGTGGGAGCGTGGGAGCGTAGGAGGGGCTGCTTCCACACCTGACTACTCTGTGCAAAACACAGGGTCTCCTTCAACAGCCATGTGAGCTCCTAAAAGGTAACAATCAGATTATAGAGGTGAATAGTTGGAACCACCACTCTGAGTTCAGAGACTTTTCTGCAGGTCTCAGGACTGTAGGACCCAAGAACAGAGTGAAGCCACTGGAAAATGTCTGAGTATGTAGTGGGACAAGGCTATTTCAGATCTATTTCCCTCTTATCTGTCCCCAGTAATTTTACCATAGAGCAAATGTCATCATTTTATTTCTGAGAGTTCTGCACCAGTCTGCTCCCTAGCCCTTCTGCCACACCTACTTTCTGATCAATCTAGTATCCACTTTCACCAACAGGGACATCTTCATAAAGTACAAATCTGATCACTTCATTCCACAGCCCAACCCTTCAACTAATCCCCATTAAACTTCTTCATACAACACACATCCATTTCCACAATATCCGACCCTTCCCTCAGCTCCTCATTCATCTCCTACCCGAGTCTACACCCATACACATATACAAAGAGATACAAACATGCCTAATGCTCCAACAGTGTCAGATTTGTTAGTTCCCCAAATACAACAAACTCTTTTATCTTTTCATGCATTTGATTGTGTTCTTCCTTTTGCCTAAAATGCCCAGCTCCCTTTACCTGTCTGGTAAATGTTTCCTTTAAGAGAGAATTCAAAAGTCCTGCTGCACTCCCCAAATTACAATGACTTTTTTTTTTAGCATTTTATTTTTATTTAATTAATTAATTAATTAATTATTTTATCCTCACCCAAAAACATTTTTTTCCATTTTTTGTTCAGATAGAGTGGGAGGGAGAGAGAGAGAGAGAGAAATATCGACATGAAAGGGACACATCGAGTGGTTGCCACCCACATGATCCAACCAGGGCCGGGAACAAACTGCAACCAAGGTACATGCCCTTAGCAGGAACTGAACCCAGGTCCCTCTGGACCGCAGGCTGATGCTCTAACTGCTGAGCTAAACCAGCCAGGGCTACAATGACTTATTTTGCATAAATAGAAAAGTCCACACTAAAATTCATATGGAATCTCAAGAAATCTCTAATAGCCAAAAAATATTGTAAAAGAGCTAAGTTAAAAGTCTCACACTTCCCCATCAAAACTTTACTAGACTTAATAAATAAATTTGGCAAAGTAGCAGGATACAAAATTAATATCAAGAAATCAATGACATTCTTATACACCAATGATCAACTCACAGAAAGAGAAACTAAAAATACAATCCCATTTACCATTGTGGCAAAAATATTAAGATACCTAGGAATAAACTTAACCAAAGAAATAAAGAACCTATTCACAGAAAACTACAGGACATTGAAAAAAGAAATAGAGGAAGATATAAAAAAGTGGAAGCACATGTCCTGTTCATAAATTGGAAGAATTAGCATCATTAAAATGTCCATACTACCCAAAGCAATCTATGGATTCAATGCAACCCCCATCAAAATGCCAGTGACATATTTCACAGAACTAGAACAAATACTTCAAAAGTTCATATGGAACCAAAAAAGACCCCGAATAGCCACAGCAATCTTGAAAAAGAAGAACGAAGTTGGAAGGATCACATTACCAGATTTCAGGTTATACTACAAAGCCACAGTAATCAAAACAGCCTGGTAAAGGCACAAGAACAGGCAGATAGATCAATGGAACAGAATAGAGAACCCAGAAATGGACCCAAGACAATATGCTTAATTAATATTTGACAAAGGGGGCAAGAGCATACAGTGGAGTAAAGACAGCCTCTTTAATAAATGGTGTTGGGAAAATTGGACAGCCACATTCAAAAAAATGAAACTAGACCATCAACTTACACCATACACAAGAATAAACTCAAAATAGATAAAAGACTTAAATGTGACTCATGAATCCATAAAAATCCTACAAGAAAATGTAGGCAACAAAATTTCAGACATCATACACAGCAGAATTTTCACTGATACATCACCTAAGGCAACAGAAATAAAGGAGAAAATGAACACATGGGACTACATCAAACTAAAAAGCTTCTGCACAGCAAAAGATACAATCATCAAAATGGAAAGGCAACCCACTGTATGGAAGAGCATAAATGCCAATGATATATCAGATAAGAGGTTAATTTCCAATATATATAGAGTGCTCATACAACTCAACAAAAGGAAGACAAGGAACCCAATTAAAACATGGGCAGAGGAACTAAATAAACACCTCTCCAAACAGGACATACAAATGGCTAAGAGAATATGAAGAAATGCTCAACATCACTAATCATCAGAGAGATGCAAATTAAAACAACAATGAGGTATCACCTCACACCTGCCAGAATGTCCATCATCAACAAATCATCAAACAACAAGTGTTGGCAAGGGTCTGGAGAAAAGGGGACTCTAGTACACTGCTGGAGGGAATGCAGACTGGTGCAGCCACTATGGAAAACTGGTGCAGCCACTATGGAAAATATGGTGTTACCTCAAAAAATTAAAAATTGAACTTCCATTTGACCCAGTGATCCCACTTCTAGGAATATACCCTAAGAAGCCTGAAACACCAATCAGAAAAAAATATATGTACCCCCATGTTCATAGCAGCACTATTTACAATAGCTAAGATCTGGAAATAGCCCAAGTGTCCATCAGTAGACAAATGGATAAAAAAGCCATGGTACATATACACAATGGAGTACTATGCAGCTGTAAAAAAGAAAGACCTCTTGTCCTTTGAGACGACATGGAGGGACCTGGAAAGTATTATCCTAAGTGAAACAAGCCAAACAGAGAAAGACAAGTATCATATAATCTCACTTATTTGTGGAATATAATGAACATAACAGTCTGAGGAATGGGATAGTCCCAGAGACGTGGAAGTGGGGTACAGACTGACAATCCCCAGAAGAAGGGGTGGTGGAGGAGAGATAAACCACAGAACTTATATGCATGTGTGCATGAACAATAGACATGGACAACAAAGCTGGGGACAGGGCCAGGAGGGAGGGGTAGGGGGAATCAGTGGGGCGAAAAGGAGAAACATCTGTAACAAAAATAAATTAATTAATTAAAAAAAAAAAAGTCTCACACTTCCTGATTTCAAAACTTATTTCAAAGCTACAGTAATCCGAACAGTGTAGTGCCGGTATAGACAGACATATGGCCTGATGGAATAGAATAAAGAGCCCAGAAATAAACCCTCACATATGTGGTCAAGTGATTTTCAACAATGTGCCAAAACCATTCAATAAGGAAAAAAGCAGTCTTTTCAGCAAATGGTGTTGAAAAACTGAATATCCACATGCAAAAGAATGAAGCTGAACCCTTGCCTTATACCATATTTTTAAAATTAACTAAAAATATATCAAGGACCTAAATGTAAGAGCTAATACTATTAAACTCTTAAAAGAAAACATAGGGAAAAGCTTATGAGACTGGATTTGGCAAACATTTCTTAGATATGTAAGGCAACAAAAGTAAAATTACGTAAGTTGAACTGCATCGAAACGTAACATTTCTGTACATCAAAGGACACAATCAACAGACCTGCCAATCAACAGAGTAAAAAAATAGCCCATGGAATGACAGAAAATATTTACAAATCATATATCTGATAAGGGATTAATATCCAGATTATGTAAAGAGCTCCTACAACTCAACAACAACAAAAACAAAAACACAACCTGATCAAAACATGGGCAAAGAACTGGAACAGACAATTTCTCCAAAGGAGATATGTACATGATCAATAAGCACATAAAAAGATGCTGAACATCACTAGTCACTATGGAAATCAAAATCAAAATGACAATGAGATACCACCTCACACCCATCAGGATGGCTGCCATCAAACAAACAAACAAACAAACAAACAAACAGAAAACAGTAAGTGTTGGAGAGGGTGTGCAGATATGGGACCCCTTATTTTGTTAGTGGAAAGGTAAAATTGTGGAGGCGCTATATAAAACAGCATGACAATTTCTCAAAAAAATTAAAAATCCCTATACGATCCAGTAATTCCACTTCAGGGTACATATCCGAAAGAATTGAAAACAGGAACTCAAACATATATTTGTGCACCAATTATTATGAAACATTATTCACAGTAGCCTAAAGGAAGCATCAGTCAAAGTGTCCAGCCACAGATGAATGAATAAACAAAATTTGGCATATATATGCAACGGAATACTACTCATAGCCTTAAAGGGAAGGAAATTCTGATGCAGGCCACAATATGGATGAACCCTAGAACATTATGCTAAGTGAAATTAGCCAGTCACGAAAGAATAATTATTGTATGGTTTCACCCATCGGAAGTACCTAAAATAATCAGATTCATAGAGACAGAAAGTAGAATGATGGTTGTCTGTGGTTGGGGTCAAAGGGGGATGGGAAGTTATTGTTCAATAGGTACAGAGAACAAAGTTTCAGTTTTGGAAGATGAAAAGTATTCTGGAGATGGATGGCGGTGATGGTTGCACAACAATGTAAATGTACTCAATGCCACTCAACTATACACTTAAAAATGGTTAAGATGGTAAATTTTATGTTACATGTACTTTATGACAGTTTTTAAAATTAATAATAATAAAAATAAGGTGTTGATGAGATACAACATGAAATTTTGAAGGTTACTTCATATAGAGAATCCTGATATCAAATGTTGGTGTTAACAGGAATAGTAGCAGAATTATTATCTTGTAGTGATATTACAACTAAAGTCAATAATATTCAAATTTATATCACACTATGAATATGTCTTAATTTTAGTAAAAGATGTTATCTTGTGTATCAAAAATTGGATAGTAGCCCAGCTGGTGTGGCTCAGTGGTTGAGCGTCGACCCATGCACCAGGAGGTCGCCTGTTTGATTCCGGATCAGGGCACATGCCCAGGTTGTGGGCCCAATGATCCCCAGTGGGGGGCATGCAGGAGGCTGCCAATCGATGTTCTCTCATAGATGTTTCTATCTCTCTCTCCCTCTCCCCTCCTCTCTCTCTAAAATCAATAAAGAAAAAAACTTTTTAATTGGATAGTAAAAAACTATAACCTATCACATGAATAGATTAACAGAAAAAAACATATTGCATCAATAAATGCAAAAATGTGTTTGGGTAAAACTCAATAAAAATTCATAATTTAAAAAAAGTCTATTGCAGTGAAGCTCCAAATTGTCCAGACCCTTTTCTTTGGCTATCAAAGAATCCAAACATTCTTCTAACAGTGCACCTGTGGTTCTAATTAGAATGATCCGTTTACATGTTTGCCTCCCAGACTGAAGAGGCATCTTATAAATCATTGTTACCTGAGCACCTAACTTGGTGCTAATGAAAAAAGTTTCTAAGTAAATTCTGGCTGACTGCCTGGAAAACAAAAGGAGCAATTAGGCACGAGCTTTGTATGCTTAAGTCTCAGAGCGTGTTTCTGAATAGGTCCGAGGGTGAGCCGCCTTGATGTCTAAAAGGGTACCAGGGCCCTGGCCAGTTTGGCTCAGCGGTTAGAGCATCAACCTGCAGACCAGAGAGTCGTGGGTTTGATTCTGGTCAAGGGCACGTACCTCGTTGTGGTTCATCCCCGGCCCTGGTCGGGGTCGTGTGGGAGGCAACCAGTCAATGTCTCACATCAATGTTTTTCTCTCTCTCTCTCTCTCTTTCTTCCCCTCCCACTCTATCTGAAAAATAAATAAATAAACAAATAAATAAATAAATAAATAATACATAAAATAAAAGGGTGCCAGGGCTGCCTGGCTCTGAGCGGGATGCCATGCACAGCACTTCCTCGGGTCTGTGAGAGGACCATGTGCAAGATGGATGCTTTACTGGGGACAGAAATTCTTCCTGCATCTCCTCATGTCCCTGCACTAACTGAGAGGGCTGCAAGAGCCAGAGGCAAGATGAAGAGGGACAAAGGAGGCAGGACAAGGGTGAAGAAAGACAACCGCTGGATGGTCCATCCTAAAGAGGAACCAGGAAGACCCTCCATGGTCCATGTGGTCCAAGTCAGCCTACAGCTGGGTCAGGACATCTTTACTGTAAGGGCCAGAGAGTAAGTATTTCAAGCTTTGAGGACCACTGAGTCTGTCCCAGTGACTCCACATTGCCAAGTGGTACAAAAGCTACCACAGATGATATGTAAATGAATGTGTGGCTGTGTTCCAATAAAACTTTATTTTTGAAAATAAGTGCTGGACTCAATTCGACCCATAGACCATAGTTTCCAGACACCCGTTCTACTTCTTACCCCTTAAATAAGGTTCAAGGACCAGCAGCATTGACATCACTTGGGAGCTTGTTAGATCTGCATAATCTTAGGCACCACCCAAGACCTTCGGAGTCAAAATTTCATTTTACAAGAAGCCCAGTAGAGTTTGCACCGTAGATCCGTGATCACTTCGGCCTGAGCATTAAGATGCTGTAGCAACACAGGCCCAGGCAGTTTTGCTTAGTGCCTTCTTTATAAATCTGATCGAGGGTAGGAGAGCAGTCCTCACTGGCCCTGCCACACAGTCAGCCCTCCAGGTGGTTCAGAACACCTTAGTGAGGACATCAAAACTGAGAGCAAGGCTGGGTGGAGGAGACCCTGTTCTGTTCGAGACAGCTGCCAACAGGACAAGGTCTGCAGAAGTCAGAGAAGTGATGAACCCCAGAGGCGAACTCTACACCACCCCCACCCTGAGCCCTGGGCCCGATGGAACAGCTCCAGGTAGTTCTGCACATTTTCCACTGGCTGTTTGCCTTCTAATTAAAACATTACCACACCTCCTATTCTGATGGTTAATGTTATGAGTTAACTTGACTGGCCATAGGGCATCTAGATTAAACATTATTTCTGGGTGTGTCTGTGAGGGTATTTCCAGATGAGATTGAGATTTGAATCGATGGACTCACAAAAGCAGATGGCCCTCCCCAATATGGTTGGGCATCGTCCAATGTGCTGAGGGCCTGCGTAGATCAAAAGGTGGAGGAAGAAGGAATTTGCTCCTTTTCTCCTGCCTCACTGTTTGAGCTGAGACATCCCGTCTCACCTCTTCTCTGGCCCTCAGATTGGGCTTTATGCCATCGACTCCCCTGGTTCTCAGGCTGAGGACTCAGACTGCACTACACACTGGCTTTTCTGGGCCTCCAGCTTGCCTCAATAATCATGTGAGCCACTTTCTTATAATAAATCTACATATAGATAAAGATTACAGGTATAGGTATAGGTATAGGTATAGGTATAGGTATAGGTATAGGTATAGGTACAGGTATAGGTATAGGTATAGGTATAGGTATAGGTATAGGTATAGGTACAGGTATAGGTATAGGTATAGGTATAGGTAGGTAAAATAGCCACCCTACTGGTTCTGTTTCTCTGGAGAACCCTGACACACCTACCGATATAAAGGTAAGGGGCATGAAGCACTTATCCACAGCAAAGTGCAGTTTTGTGCTCCGTTCCTCAAGGAAGTTCTCTATCACTGGCTAGCTCCTACCACAGTGAACAGTGGTTCTCAACATTGGGCAGTTTGCACCCAGGGGGCATTTGACAAGGTTAGGAGGCATTTTCGGCTATCACATCTGCAGTAGGGGTTGATGTGGCATCTAATGGGTAGGAAGTGAGGAAACTTTTAAACATCTTACAATGTACAATAGCCGTCCCTCCCAAAAAAGAATGATCTGGTCCAAAATATTAATATCTTGAGGTTAAGAAATTTTATCCTAGAACAAACAGCATTACTTCATTGACCAGTCTCAGTGACACTGCGTCTGTGCACCTTATCACATCACCAGTACAATCCAAAATGTGTCAGAGAGAGAGTCTGCTGAGCAGCTCCCAGGAGCCTTGATCGGGACATCACAGATCCAAGCTTTGGGTCAGCAACCCAATGTCTCCAGTCACCAGAAGTGAACAGACTCTGGGAGAACAGCTCACATTAACCAAGCCTTCAAGAGAACATAACATCAACCAGTACCAGTTTATTCACTCCTAACTGGAGAGCCACCGGCTGCAAGGTCTAGATTGGCTCCTCCTCCAGACAATTTGAACCTGGGGACTGTCCTGGCGAGGGAAAAATTAGGACTGAGGAACAGTAGATTTTCAAAGCTGGGGCTTTCTTCCTGTGATGACCCATTGGATTAAGCCCACACCATTCCAGGGAAAAATCATGTCTAGAGAGCACTCTAGGGCCAGTCAACCAGCACCACACCACACTCTTTGGACAGAACCTACCAATTTATATAAATCTTCCCCTCTGACATCTTTGTTTCATCTATGACCCAAAGCTCCTTTGCCTAATTACTGACACATTGTAACAGGATTGCAAAGAGATCACTCCTGCCCATGACTTACACCTCAGAATTTTGCCTTCCTGAACATGCGCTGGTCTCTTGATGAAGATGACAACCTGTCTGATGAGTACTACCCCCGAGACTGACGGACTAATTGCATGCATTGTATACTCTTATTCACTGGCTTTCATGTTAAAAGTAACCTCATTTCCAGTGCTGCAAATTCATCTTCTCTGGAGCCCATTTTGTACTGATTACAATCACTGAGTGTATAAAACAAAATGTGCCTGGAGATGATACATTTCATCTTCAATTGCAGTATCAGTAGTGAGCATCCCTGGTATGTAAGTCCCCTGCCTGGGGACTCTATTATTACATAGTATGCAGAGGGTAGTAAAAAATCTCATGACCCCCTCAGCTACCTGGGGAGAGGTGTGCTGTCAGGAACATAGGCGCCTCTGGTAAGCACAGTTCATCTCCGGTAACGTTTGCATCAAGCAGTACAGGTCCTGAGACTGGCTAGGCCCGGTTGGCTTCTCAAACTCTGGAAGAAGAGAGAAATGGCACAAAACCCATCAGAGAGCATCACAGGGCCAGAAGACCACATCATGCGTTAGACCTGGTGTCATAGGGAACCACTGAGCAGAGCAGCCTTGGTGATGTTTGTCTGGCTCCCAAAGAGACGGAATACCATCCCCTGAGAGGACAAAGCCCACTGCCAGAGTTTAATCTGGAGCTGGAACCAGACAGCCACAGAAACCGACCTCCCAAGGTCATAGCAGGAAAGGAAGCAATGAGTAAAAGATCAAAGGCAACATGCTTCCTCTTCCCTCCTGTCAGCCAAAAGCCACAAAGCAGCTAGAGTGGGATGTGTCCGCACAGCCCCTCATCAGTGGGGTTTGCAGGCCAGCCTCTCTGAAACAGGAAGGGAGGGGATTCGGTTCCCAGAGAGCAGTGCCCAGATGGACCATAAAATGAAGCCTCATGAAGTCTGTGTGGGCACAGAAAACCTGGAAATGCTGATGTGCAGATTCCTGTAGCCTGTCCCTTTCATAGCGTGTCCCCTCACGCAGCGAGGGGAGCCATGGGGGCCTCTGGAAAGTGTGGGCCCCACACAGCTTCTTTATGTTGCCCGCTTCCATTAGAAGTGTGCAGAAAAAATTAAATCAGTCCCGGAGCTCAGAGCCCTGAGCAGCCCCCCTGCTCTACATGGACACACTCATTCATTTATCTTCACATCTTCCTGCTGACTCCGGCAGCACCAATTGCTGCTGGTTTATTTACATCGTTATAGATACTCATCCCAGCTGCCTCTGCCTCACAAGGATTTATGGCACCTTCCTATCCCCATTATACCAGGGGAGGAATTAAGGAAGGGAACTTGAAGCACACTCACCCTTCGTTCTGCACTAACGAAAGCCACCCTGGGGACTGAGCCCCGCAGGGCCACACAGGGTCTGATGCAAAGGCTTCTGTGCAAAATAGCTCCCACATCACAGGGAGGAAAGAGGATGCACGTGGCCCCTGAGAAATGACTGAGCGGAGAGAAAGCGATTTTCTCTGGAGGCTGACAAACGCCTGTGGATGATACATCCAACAAGCTGGCCCTCCAGCTGCTTGGCCCACCTTCCCCTCCAACCCACTCCAGCAAACCTTTCCAGGGACACATCCTGGACCTTGTTGTCACCTGTAAAGTGCTGACTCTGAAATCTGGGCCGGGAGCTCCTTCAGGACAGAGGCCATGTTTTCGTTATTTTCTTTGTTCCCAGAGTCTCCCACAGTAAGTGCACAGAGCTGACCTTGAGTGACAGTTGATGAATGAGCCCCACTCAGAAATGCCCCTCTCCAACCAGAACCTTATACCCTCTACCTCCTCACTGCTGGAATCAAAGTAAACCTGCTCCCCAGTCTCTCTGAGGTCTCTCCAGCTCACCAGGGCACAAGTCTTGTCCTGCATTCACTTGTCCCTGCACAGCCTGGCGACTTTAACTACTACACTGGGCTCGTGGCAGGGCCTCTCTGCTGCCAGCCCAGTGCCCCAGGCCCAACCACAGGCCCGCTCCAGCCCTCACCTTCCTGCCTTCCTGCCCACAGGCTGAGTGCTTCTGCGGAAAAAAATCATTCTTATTTGCATCATTGCGAATGTTTGGTTTATATCCTCAGTGGGGCCCTTATGTTGCTAGAAAACCCTACATGGCCCTGGCATTGCACTCTCTCATTTTCAAAGGAGATGTACCAAACTTCTACCTCTCTCTTCCTGTCCCCTTCTCCATCCTCACCTCTCAGATGAGCCTCGTCTTCCCGGAGAAAATCGAGGCCAAGCGACGTGAACGGTAACCTCCCTCTGTTCCAGCTGATCCTGACCTTCCTCCCTCTTGTCTCTAAGGAAGATTTTACCTGTGTTTTTCATCAAATAATTTCCTTCTTCCTCCTATAATATTTAATTCCATCAAGTATTCATCCTTTCACCTTCCCTTTATTGACTTATCTCCATCTCTCTCTCTAGTGACAGGTAGACAGATAGAAAGATGGATAGATAAACACAGAAAAAGAGAAACATAAGAGATTATATATATAATTCTCAAACTTTCGATTTTTACCTTCCTTTTCCTCTTCTCTCCTTCTCTATATATGTAAAATATATCATATATATATGTACATATATATATATACATGTACACACAGAGGTATGTACATACATAAACCTGCATGTCTGTGTATATATACACATGTATATATCTATGTGTATATATCCATACATACATATATGCACATCTATCTTTCTCTCTCGAACACTTTCTCATTCTTTCCCAAGCTCTCTAGAAATCTCTCAGTCTCCTGGTCTTATCGACTCCTCATCTACAATAAAGTTGTTTAATTGCTCCCATCCTTAAATGACCTTCCCTTTGCTCAGCTTCCACCAGGTCCCTGTCACTTGTTCTCCCTTTATAAACAAACGTATTCACAGAAACGTATACTTCCTCTCTCCATGTCTTTACCATCGTTCAGTCCTTGGCCTACAAATATCTGGCTTCCCACCCAGCCTATCTACCAATGTTGGAAAGGTGATGTGATGGAACCATCTGGTCTGTGCCGCTAACGGGAGCTCGGGTGGCACCCGGCAGCTCTTTGCTGCTCGGGCTCTCGTGCCCTTCTCCCTTCGTGCTGGCTGGCACGGTGCCTGGCACGTGCGTTCTTTAAAATGAATTCTGTCACAAAGATGAGAGTCGAGGACTCAAGGGAGTGGAGCTGGGCAGACACAGGTTTCAGGACAGAGTGAATATGGCAATACAATGGTGAAAGAACAGTCTTTTTGACAAATGGCACTGAGACAACTGGACATTGGTTTTGAATATTTATTCATTACTTGGACTAGAGTTAGCCCCCTAGTGGATCTGAAGAAGCTGGAAACCCAACCCCAACCCCACAGGTAGAGGTGGAGGGCCTGCTCTCTAGCCAAAGGAACAGGAAAGAAACAGCCTAGCAAGACAGAAAACACACAGACAATAACCACTCTGCTTGAGCCAAACACCATCAGAAAAACTACGGCCCCACCTACACCCCCTCGAGCAAAGGCTGAGTGAGGAGCCTAGGCTTCTACACTTAAGAGACTATGACAGGACACCCAACATTTCCAGAGCAAAGAAAGGCACTAGAGAGAGAAGGAAGAACATGAGTTGAAGTATAGGGCATGTCTGGGGCAAAGGGGTAGACAGTGGCCTGGTGTCAGCAAAAGCCAAGTAGGAAGGCGGGACTTTCCTCCCAGATAGCTGGTAATGCAGTACCCTTCCTGGCAGTATCAGTGGAGATCAGATGGAAGCCTAGACTTCTGTCCCCACTCGGCAGTACCAGGTGTCCCTGTCGCTCCCTGCTGGGCAGAGTCAGACTCTCGTCACCTCTAGTGGTTACAAGCCCCACCATCACCAAAAGGATGTCAGCGGAAAACAGATGGGACCCAGAACTGCCATTCTCTCCCAGCAGTAGAGAAGCCAACTGACACATGTCAACACCACGATGACAGAGATATTACAGTTATCTGACAAAGATTTTAAAGCAGCCACGTTAAAAACACCTCAGTGAGCAATTGTGGTGTGCCTGAAAGAAATGGGGGAGGGGGGGGGGGGGTGGAATCCTCAGCAAGGAAATAAAAAGTCCCAGCAAAGAAATAGAAGGTATAAAGAAAAGAATTAAAATTTTAGGATTAAAAACTATAATAACCAAAATTTTAAAAATTTAGTAAATGGGCCCAAATAGAATGGAAGGAAAAAAGGAAAGAACTGGTAAATTGGAAGACAGAACAACAGAACTTACTCAGTGGGGCAACAGAGTAAAAATAAACACACACAAAAACAAATTTAAACAGAGCCTTAGGGATCTGTGAGACTATAATAAAAGGTCTAATATTCATGTCATCAGAGCCCCAGAAGAGGAGGAGAAAATAGGCAGAACTGAAAAAGTGATAAAAAAAATAATGACTGCAAAATCTCCAAATTTGGCAAGAAACATAAACCTACAGATTCAAGAAGCTGAGAAAATCCCAAATAAGATAATTAAACTCTTGAAAATCAAATATATATAAAAAAAAAAATCTTGAAAGCAGCTTGAGAAAAATGATGTCTTAGCTGTTGATCAGATAGAGATCAGAAAGAAGAAATAAAACTGTCCCTATTTGCAGATGACAGGGTGGTCTACATGAATATCTCAAAGAATCTACAAAAACAAAACAAACAAAAAAACCCTAATAAGTGAGTTCAGCAAGGTCACAGACGAGATAAGCACAGCACACAAAGTTCAAGTTCACTTCTATACAGTAGCAAAGAACATGTGGACAGTGAAACTTAAAATATAATACCATTTACAATCACTCAAAAAATAGAATAGATATAAATCTAATAAAACACGTACAGAACTTGAATACTGAAAACAACACAGGGAGAGAAATGGAAGACCCAAATGAAGGGACAAACCATCGTGGCAGACTGAAAGACTCCACAAATAAAGATGTTAATTCTCCCCAAATTGATAAACATGTATAATGCAATTTCTATTAAAAACACCAGCAAGGTTTTTGTAGATATAGATAAATTTATGCTAAAATTTGTATAGAGCCGCAAAGGAACTAGAATGGTTAAAACAAGTTTGAAGAAGAATAAAGAGGGAGGAATTAATCTACCCGATTTCAAGCCTTACTATGCAGCTATATTAATCAAGACTGTGTATTAAAGCAGAGAGACAGACACACAGATCAATGGAACAGGGCAGAGAACCCACAAATATGCCCAACTGACCTTCGACAAAGGTGCAAAAGCAATTCGATGGAGGAAAGACACACAGCCTTTACAACAAATGGTGCTGGAGCATCCCTAGGCAAAAACGCGAGCCTCAATCACAGCCTCACACATTATATAAAAATTTACTCAGAATGGACCACAGACCAAAATGTAAAACTATGAAACTTTTAGGAAAAAAAAAAAATAGGAGAAAATCTTTGGGACCTAAGACTAGGCAAAGAATTCTTAGACTTGACACCAAAATCACAGTCCA